ATGCCAGACAAAATGGTGAAAAAATGCAAAACCTGTCCTGACCCAGCTGTGTGAAATGGGGCCACAAAATGTAGAAGGACTCCACCATTAGCAGCCTAGAAAATGAAAGTTGTGCAGGAGATATGAAGCCCATTAAAAAAAATAATTAAAACTTTGGCAGAAACTACTGTAAGCAGAAAATTTTCTTTTCAAATTAATTCATAAAGTGTTTTGGAAAATGGATGAAAATGCAAAATAACTCCCCACCTCTTCCCTGCAACACTTTGAAAAGGGGTGTTTCCTTTAAATTATACAGTGGAATCCAAGATATACGTAAATGAAAAAGATTTTACCTTATAAATCCAGCCTAAAAAATGTGAATAATCTTATATCTCTGTCTACACATACTTATGTATGTATGTATGCATCTATCTATCTATCTATCTATCTATCTATCTATCTACCTATCTATTTTTATCTATTTGCCATTTCATCACAAAAGTTTTTTTTCAGTTTAACCACATTAGCCACAGGGGATATGATTATTTCCTCTTTTAAGTAATTCAGAATAAGGGAAGTTTCAAAAGTCACACAAGCTGTGACAAATTATGGGATTTCACCCTGTGCCAGCCAAGCATCTTCCTCATCCACTGGCAGCAAAGGGAGCTGAAGGTGTTTGGCACCTCAGAGGAGCTCTGACAGCATGTCCCCAACTTCTACAAAACAGTTGTAAGAAATGCTTTCATGTTGGACGGTGGCTTTTTCAGGAAATCCTTGCTTCCCTGTTTTTGGCTTTTTTACTGTCAATTGCAGCCAATTTCTCTCCAGATGGAGGTGTTAATGATGGATTTTTCCATCTTAATAGCCTCGTTAGTTAAACTTATTTGTCAATGGCATTTCTCAGCTACCATAAAAAAAAATAATCAAACCTGTCCCTTGATTTGTTTTTATTATCATTGCATTGTATGGATCCCATTCAGTTCTGTAACTGAAGTACAACTTATAACAACAATTGTTCTGAGACAGTGAGCTCAATTGACCTGATACTGGAAATGATGTGCGTATTTATTCAGAAGTACAAACTTTCTTTTTTGAGACCTGTCTTATGTTTTCAAATGGATATGTTTGTTTGTCTCAAAGGTTTCAAATCTAGAAGGAATGACCATGGTGCTACCATCTGACCATGTACATGCATACGCCATGAAAGACAAAAAAAACCTGCTCAGTGGCTTTTGCATCAAATGCGTTTTCCAATGGCACTAGAACACATTTTTGAAAAAACATGTTTTGGCTGATATGAATTTTATTTTATATAAAAATCAAGCACTATGAGCAGATTTGATGTGAACTGGGAAAAGTGATTATCTTTCTACCCACTGTGACTGGCTATCAGATCCCCACAGCTTGTCTACCATGTAGCAGTAGAAGGACAGAGACAATGAGAGCAGCTAGGTTAAGATCAGCTGCACCTAACTTTATGGATTTATTAGTTAAGTATTCTTCTATATAAAACAGAGAAATACATATCTCTGGAGAGTGATTCAACCAACTACCTTAGAATAGGATGATCTGACCTCTCTTGGTGCTCTCTGTCTTCATTGAAACAACTAATTTAGACTACATTTCCTAGTTTCAGCTAACATTAGTGTTTACTCAGAAGACATTTGAGTGACAGGGGATGGAGGTCTACATCACACAAAGCAGTACCAGGGTTTTGCAACTTGGCCACCTACATAGCAGCCAGTTCCCACTGCCCATGGGAAAAAGACCTGAATATGTTTTTTTTTGCAAGCAATGTTTCACAAATACCCCTATAGCTGGCCTTGAGGCCTGGGAAAAGAAGAAGCTGTATGAGTTGCTTCTGGTTACGGTTTCCTAATGCTTTTGTATAGGCAGTTTCTGGCTATGGTTTCTTAATGCTTATCTTTGACATTTGTTAGAGCTGGTGGATATTGATCTGCATCATGACATCTTTTCTCACCTTAGAATTGGTTTTATCCAGACAGCAGCAATGTGATCTATGTTTTAATCCAGAAAGGTCACTACCTATCCTCATCACATCAGTAGTACCAGGTGATGTTATACAGAGCATCACAGGAGTCAGCAATGCTGCTGCATTGTGGTGATCTTAACAAATACCAGCAGGGATTCAGCATTCCTAATTGTTCACAATGTGGGTGTCTGTGAGTTAACTGTCTAAGCTTGCATTATATCAACAGAAATCTAATCAATATGGTCAAATGGCATTTAGGGAGCATTTCATCTCACCACATGTAGGAAGCAAACTTTAGTAGGATGCTCTCAGGAGCCCATCAAATGTTTTAAGAGACACTATTGCCTGTGGTGAAAACCTAAGCCTGAGATCAGATGAAAACACTTGGGCAGCAATTAAGCTACCTAAAATGTGATTTTGTTGTGCTTTTTAGACAGTCTAGTGAACCTAAGACATTGACACAGGTGTCTGCAATCCAGAACCTAGAGGGGTTGTGTGGCTTCTAGACTGCTAGTTGGAAGCCAGCTGGAAACCTTCAGGTACCTTAATGGCACTAGAGAACTGTTCAGGCATCTGAGTTGAGCCACTACTTTTCAGGCTCAATCCTTCCATGGAGTCAACAAACTTGAATCATTATTCAAGCTGAATGAAAAACATGGGACAAAGGTAAATGGTTCAGATTATCTTTCTGACCTTTGACAAACCTTTAGCGAAGACTGCAGCCTATGAAAGCAGGATTCAACCACCTGAGAATAAGTCCCTAGAGACAGTACAGACTCTGTGGGACTTTGGGAAGTAATGATCTCCCAGAAATTCCATTTCATACCTGCGTGGGTTGCTTGGATACCCTAAAGCACCTCAAATGCACTAAACACATTTAGGGAATTGAATTCCTGTCTGGGCAAATCTATCTCAGATAGTAATTATAGGGGCTATAATTACACACTAAACCTGTAAAAAGACAGTAGGGAGTGGTACAGTGCTTTAACATAGTACAGTAAGTAGCAAATGGGACTGTTAACTTATTAAAAGGAGTAAGAAAATGGTAGGTGATTGTGTGGACTGAGTTGGAAACAACACCCGGATTCCAAATTACTGAAAGTGTGTGCCTGAAGGCAGACAAGAGCCACCGGCACCAGAGATGCCCTCCTCCTAATGGTATGGCTGGGATGGAGCAATCACCGCTCTCATGAAGGCAGAGGAAATATTCACTCACATAAGCACGGGTAACATTTCTCACAAAGACATCACTTTATTTTGAGCTCTTGGTCTTCCTGCAATTGGGAAATACGCAAAGCGATTTCAAAAATGTGTCTGGCAACTAAAAATAAGAACTTTGCAGGATACCAAAAGGCATGGACTAAAAATACGCCATTAGAATCTCCATCCTCTTTTTAACTTCTTTATCTTCCATGGTTTGTAAATTACCCTTTATCTTTCTTTCCTCTAAAACGTAACCACTTCCATACCCCTTGTCTCCCACTTAACATTTCTCTACCCCATGACTACACATTACTTCTTTATTCTAGAGAGGGATTAACATTCTGCTCTGAATCTGAGGAGTTCTTTTGGCATTGCCTTGAGATCTTCTGTTCCTACATCATATCTGTAGGGGACGTGTGCTCCCAGTTTTTAATTTTTAATGTATAATTTTTCTATTAAGAAATATTATCTTTCCTTGTAAACCTTGTGTTATGTTTGACCTTCCTTGCTAAAAATACCAACATGATCTATTTAGATTTATATACTTCCCAATCAATTTTTGGTTTAATTGTCATTGTTAGTTCAGCAGTACTGGCTTACCTGAGAAAATACATTTAAATAGCATTGCTACAAAGGCTTGAAATTAGAGAATTGGTACTTACAATACCTTGTGAGAACAGGATTCACATAAATTGACTTTTAATTAAAGTGTTTGATTTGCTGTAATTTATTTTTATTATTTTATAATATTTTCTTAGGTGTTATAAAGTATATAATCAAGTTAATTTTCAACTATACAATTTATTATCTTTGAATAGTATTTAGATTATTTATTAAACACAAGAACTACCTAGTCTGTTCTTTATTTATGAAGGATATAATTTAATACGTTTCTAATACAGACAGATGAAAAATGAAAAAAATTAAACATATATATTTTTATGAGGTTACACATTCTTTTCTCAAATATAATTACTTCTATTACAGTAACCTCAAACCTTCCTCTGAAGCATGTTGAATAATGCAGGTGTTATACAAGATAACACATTTTGTGTTGGTCATATGTCTTTTGATGTTATCAACTGAGCTACAAAGATTAAACAGAAAGTGGATAACCCTTCAAAAACCATTTTAACTGAGGGTATTTGCAAAAAAATATGGTTAAGATGGAAGTCAAGTTGTCTTTTTCATTAATTTTTTTCTTTGAAGTATTTTTGGCCAAGAATTTTCATTTTTTAAGCAAACTTTTTGATTCTTTAACCCACTGAAATTAGGAGGGATTTACTAACTCCTGGAGTAGTAAGCACTTGAAAGGTCCCTGATTAAAGTGGTTTATTTGTTCGTTATATAAAGTGGCTACCTGTGATAGCAAGAGACTTGCTTCAGTGATCTCAAGGGTCTTTTCAAGCCTTGAAACTAGTTTCTAAAACCAAAAATGTAAGAACGCACACCCCACACACATCACACCCCTCTGCCTATAGCTGCAAAGACATACGCCCCAGAGAGTAGGCTAAGAGTGGAAGTTGGGGAAAGAGGAACAGAAGATGGAGTTAGACTTGTACACTGATGATAATGAGCTCCAACTGGTCTAATTGCCCATCAGATTTTAACCAGGGCTTGTGTGGCTTGATGAAATTCAGAGACAGCTGTCTGCCCCTTTCTCTTGTCTTTGGGGAAAAAAGATTTGCCATTTCCTGCCAGAACACATTTTTTTAGTGTTTGAAAGCTAGACTTGGCTCTTGAGCATTAGGGCAAATAAGACATAAAGGACACAATTATATGAGAAACATAATTTATTTGGAAACTTAACAGTAACAGATGAAATTGCCATAAATTATAAATAAATTTAAAATAAATAATTGTTAATAGTATACTCCAACGGAATTTGAACAGAAATCCATTCTGACCAGGTAGTCAGGCAATGCTGAAAAATGCAGGACATAAAAACATACGGTGTGCATATGAAAAAATATCGCAATTAACAATTAAACCAGCTGATGCTCTCCATTTGTCCAACAATCCGTTTGGCACGAGGATCAAACTGGAACTGAGTTGTTCCATGGAAGAAGTAGACATAGCCTAGAAGTAAAATTTAATCCAATTATATTTCAGAGGTGACTTTTTTCAGTATTGTGGAAAAAAAAATCATCCCCATTATAAACTGTCCATATATACTTGATATTTTTCATTTCCTTCTCATTAAGGTTAATGACAGCTTTTTGAAAACTTTTGGAAATTATTCTATCTACAGAAGCCCAAATATTCAAGTAAACACAGATTAAAGGTATGTTTTACTCACCATCTTTCCAGAAAGCAGCATCAACTCTGCCAATTTTTCCAAAGTCAGAGACTATTTTCCTAGGATAACCATGATCCATGGATTTTTTCTTTTCATCATATCTTAGAACAAGAAACACCATTATAATTTGTGAGGAAGCAGACAATATTTTGAAAGTCAAAAGTGAATTCGTACACGTACACAACTCTGCTGTTACTAAGAAGCCTTATAAAGAATAACTAAAGTAGCTTTTTGATTCTTTCTATTATGTATTAGGTTTCTCACATTATGAATGTCCTGAGATTTGAAAATCCTGCTTATGGCAAAGTTTGCAACAAGGTTCTCAGAGACCCTGGGAACACAGCACAAGAATTTATTAATGTATTTCTGGACTGGCAGAGCCTTCCTTAGGCATCACTGGCACATAAAAGAGTTTTTATTTCCAGGCACTGAATATCCAGTTCAATATAAAAGCAAAACAGAAAACTTTGGAGAAGAAGACAGTAGCACAGTCCTGAAACATTGTTGAATTAGTGTCAGGGATGCACTTTTTAAACGACGTTGCTCTCTGAAATTTGTCATACTTGAATTAGAAATACAACCAGTTGTATATTTGGAGAATATTTAGAATCTCTTCATAGAGAAATTTAATACAACACTATTAGCAATTCATTTTGTTTAAAATGTAAATTCAAAGTGGATATATTTGCACAGAACAGCAGCACCGTCATAGAGAAAAAGTGAGTAATTTATAGAAAACCACTCTTTAATTGAGCAGCTTCTTCATTCAGTTCCAAGTAATTACATTCCGCTACAGGAATCCAATCTTTAGCAAAAAAAAAAAAAAAAAAAAAATCTATAGAAAAGTCGACATTTTCTAGCAAATGTTTAGTTTTTTTAAGCTTTAGAAAAATCACATTTAAATTTGTGGAATATACCTTGTTTAAACATCATTACACTTGGATTTTATAGTAATACATTAATCCCCAGGGACAAATGAAAATAGGCCTTCTGGTAAATGAACATACAATCTTACCTCCAGTATCTGTTAGCTACAAAGAAGTATGTTTTTCCTGTGGTTTCATCACTGTAAGCTGCATTAACTCTTTTAACAGTCTTCGGGAACCCCAGGCGGTAGATTGGTTTGGGATAGCCAGGCGCAATATCATATCCCCTGACAACCCAATATTTATCCTCTGAAAAATATAAGAAAATTTAATTTGGTTTTGCTATTCATAAGCAGCATTTACTTGTGTTTTAGATGTGTAGAAAATAATAATGTGTCTAGATGTCAGTATTATTCCTCTCAGTTTTCTACTTTCAAAAATTTTTCCAATTCTCACACTGGGAATACATCATGAAAACAACGGAAATATCTTTTGGTTTTGGGAGTAAAACATTAGAATCGTAAGGTGTATGGATAACAACTTTCCCCAGATTTTTTTTGAAATGAATATAAAGTAATTGTCTGGATAACAACTTGGAGAAGGCTGGAGGTTGATCAGTTAATCCACTGACACTGGATTAGGTTATTGAGTTTATTAAATTCCTGCAATATACTATCTGATTAGAGAATCATATAATATTTTGAAAACTAGTCAGTATGCATCAATTTAAACTGTTAAGAAAAGCATATATATCTAATTAAAGTGCTTTGGTAATTTTAAGTGCAATGAACATTTTTATATGTGGTAATATATCATGTACCTAAATATGTATATAATAAAGTTATTTGAGATATTTAAAGGGTATTTGAGACCTTTAACAAAAAGGACTGATTTTTAGTTCAGTGAACAATTTTCCTCGCACTGTACTCTTTTCCTCCAATATTTTTTTTGGTAGGTTTTTCTCCCAAAAATATCACAAAATGTAATACGCATAACAGTAACAGTAGTGTAAAAAGGCCTGTATTTGTCAATTGAATTCACAAAAAATCCTTCTGCACAAAGTGAAGTACTGTTACCTGAAGAGAACTAGACCTGAAGAAGGGGTAGCTGTTTTCATGTCTTATTTTTCAGAGCATTAGGTATAACAGAAGGGCAAGTTTTCAGGTTTATGACCTCTGGAGATCACTTACAGCAGTATGATTCTCTGGTTTAATTACTTGCAGAATTGTAAGATTCTCTGTTTCACTTCCTTAAAAACACTTTGACTTCTGTAATTGAATAGTTTGCAAAGGAGCAGGAAGTAAATAGTCAGAAAAAGTAGAGAATTTCAGATTCCATTACCTTTAAAAAGTACAATTTCATCCTTTTCAATGTTTTCGTATGCAGCTTGAATTCCTGATGGTAATGTTGGCCAGAACAGTGAGATAAAATTGAGCTCAGTCTCTGTCCTCGCAGGATGTTTGCGCAGCATGTATCTGTTTTAAACAAAATTTATGTGATAAAATAGTTCCACTCCTATCATAAATGCAAAAGAATTATTATAGCTCCTGGAGTGTAACAGAGGGGAGATGAGTACTTGGGTGTGAATACTCCCCCTCCACTGAATATAAAGGCAATCTACAGCAACAGAATTCTTAATTTTAGCACCTCAGTTACATGCTAAAAATCAGGCAAGTTCAATACAAGGCCTTCTATTTCTTTGTATATCAAGAAGGTTCAGACCTAGATTCAGTAACCACCTAACAAACATCTTTCTACCTGGCCATGCTTTCAGTTCTGCCACTGCTCCTTAACTGAGGATGAGTGTGGGACCCACAGACAGATTGCTAAGGGACATATGAACGCTCTTGCTCTTTAGTTGAATGGAGTTCAGAGACAAGTCTGAACAGTGTGTCACAGTGGCCACAGTAGTAGAACAGCTGGAAGACAACCTACAAGCCCTTGTCACTGTCCCTGCTCTTGTCAACTAGGGCTCTTAGGACTAACGATTTGAGAACTCTTCCTTCTGTAAATGTACAGTAGTTTTCCAGTGCTTCTCTTTGTACTAGATTCCAAAAGGATAGTTTTTCCCTTAGTGGAATTTTTTAAATTACTGAATCTTTTAAAGGGGTAATATATATGCTTGTTGTTGTTACCTGCCCTTGAAGAAGAAGATTTCTCCGCGTAGGGTAACAATAGAATCAAATGTCAAATTTGGGTCACAGGCTTCTGGAGTTACTGGTCCTGTTGGCTGCACAGCAGCATTAGACTGCCCTATAGGATGAATGTTTATCGTTTAGTGTGGAGAAATATAAAGACAGTGCTCAGAAGTTCTGTGAGGACACAAAGAACACTTTTTACAGAGAATGAAAAGGGATACAATTTTAAAGTAAGTGTCATGATACACAGGATTTTAATATTGGTAAAATCGGTTGTGTTCATCTGTTCCAAAATGAGTTTTTTGCAGAAATTGACTTCAGCTGAAGTTAACTTCCAGGAATTTTCTCTCTTTTGTTATCCGCTTTTCAGTAGCTGTTAAACATCTCATTTTGGTGGAATAAATGTAGTTTTGATAAATTCCTTTTATCATTTATGAGCCTCTCAAGTAGAAATATTAAATAAATATATTTTTTTCTTACCATATATGGCTTGAATGCCATCAATGTCATCTTGGGGAAGAAGGAATTCATTGGGGTCCGTGTAGGAGTAAGTTGGATACATCAGTGCTCCAGGATCATTTGAATGAGACAGACCCAGTGAATGGCCAAGCTCATGGGCAACAACAATGAACAAATTGTAGCCTGTGGGATAAAAATCATACAAAGAAGGTAAAATCTATTTCGGTATTTAGCACAGTCAACTTATGCTTCCTCCTAAAATATACCAAAAGTGCAAGAAAGATTGTAAGTAATTCTATCAACATCACAACTTAAAAATATTGTAACAGAAGAACTATATGAGTAACTAAAGAATGTCTGGCCTTAATTGTGGTCTCATTGTCCTTTCTCTAGTGTTCTTCTATCTTAAACACAAACTGTTTCTCCTGCTGTCACATAAACTGCTCAGATCAAGGATCATGCCAGTGATGAGTAGTTATTGGCAGAGATCCAACAGAAAAATGACTTCAAAACAAACACTGAGATTACAGTTTTGGTGATACTTGGACCATCCTAGTTAGCACCAAATTTTGAAGTGCTAGGTTAAGAAAGAGAAAGGATTTGCCTAGAGAAGTCTCCCATCAGATCTGCTTGTATGCAAGTTTTATCTTTTATCTGAAAAAAAAGTATTTTAAAATGCTGACTTTAAAATTATTATAAACCATTATGAACTAAATGTTTATATGCCATTATAAACCATTATGACCTAAACCTCTATTTTCTGCAAGGTAATTCCTAAAAAAAAAAAGGCCAAATTCTATCTCTTTTACTCACTTCTCTGCCTGTAATCAAGCTCATGAAGTAATAAGCATCACTTGAGCTAAGAACATCCAGGGTAAAACTATGTAAATGAATCCAGTTACAAAATCCTTACCTCTTCCATCTTTTGTCCAAGCTTCCTCCTCATCAATATGCACATCCCCACCAATACCTTCACCAGGCTGGAATGCATGAGCCAGCTGCCCATTAGGACCATCAAAAGGAGAATTGTCACGATGGTCTATAATGAAGACATAAAAAATCAGTTAAAATCCTAAATTACTCCTATGACTGCAGATGGCTATTGAATATGTAGAGTTATCATTGTTACCTCTATAAGCAAAAGAAATCATTATATCTGCTTCTTTGTCCTCAACCCTTTGGAATGTCAGTGGTGTTACGTTGCTCCAGACACTGATAGCTTTTCGGATTGCTTCATCTACATCAGCTTTTGTCATCTTTGGGGTATAATTCAAAATTCTTCAAAGAAAAAACAACACATAATAATATATTGTTAAGAATTTCATTGAAATTTCAGCATTTTCTCTGAACTTAAGCATTTTAGCTGAAAAATAATAACTTGTGAAAAAGTAAAAAATCTTAGGTGTATCTCTTGTGAATGAAAATCAATAATGTCTTCAGTTTAGATACTGCCTTCCAGAGTGTGTCTTCTTCTAGGAATCACTTAATCACTCTATATGTCCATATATGGCATAATATAATTACTTCAGACCCCCCTCCCCCTCAAGTTGGGGTGCTAGATTTTTTGAATAAGATTTTTTTTATTCAGATTAGGAAATATTACCTGTATGTCAGATTATTTCTTTTCCATTTAGGATTCCCTGCTGTGAACACATATTGCCCTATATCAGGTACACCACATCTGGGTTTTTTCATCATCTCCAAAGTGTCAAGATCAGGTTTCCCAGTCACTTGTAGTCCAAAGAATGACTGCATTTCCTTGAGCTTTGCAGCAAGGGGATTTTCACCATGGCTTCTTAAATGAGGATGGCTATCCCTTTGAAGGTCATAGAAATTCTGTAGATAACTCTGAATCAGAGTTTTAAAAAAAGAAGAGCACTGTGTCATATCGGTACTGTCTTGGGTCACACTAAAATTTTCTGAGTAATCGTGAACTATTCCCATGTCGACTTGCCCTGTGTTTACCAGGAGTAATAACAACCTATTTTCTCCAGGAAGTGGTGTGAGGAGTCAGGAATAATTTACCGTTTTGCTATAGTTTTCTGAATTTCTTGTTTCACTGATGGAATATATGAAGAAATGTCTTGAAAATCTCATATTTACTATTAATAAATACTCCCACATTATTTATCATGTCCCACTACTCTAACAGCAAAATTTATGAGGAAGCTTATATCTGGTCTCATTCAAGGAAATCAAGATTGGCAGTGATACTCCAAACAACCAGGTCTCCCACGAAAGCAAGTGACTACTACTAGAGAGTCAGACTTGGTAAATCATGCCTTTTATTTTTAGTTCCAAAATAGGATAGTAGAAACTCAAGTCTCTACTAAATTTCAACACTTTTTTCTACAACAAATAGTGTTGTGTCTATGTGAGTGCTGTATTTCTCATAGATGTCCCTTTTTCCAAAATATTCTGTAAAAGATCTATTCAGCCAAACATTGGAACACGTCTGCTTCAAGCAAGTTTCCTTCCTTATGTTATTAAGACCAGTCATATTACAAGTTTCAAAGCACATTCAGAAATTAATATTGTTACTGAATTTGACTGGTTTTGCAGAGCCACAGAACTTGCTGCTAAAACTCAAGCTTCAGAAGTTTTGTTGTTTTACTGAAAACACCAAAAGTGAAATATGCAATATTCAGATGACTTTTGGGTAAAAAATTTCCATATAATTTTCACACATTTTCTAGATTGATTGGGAAAGCTTTCTATTGAAACATCTGCAAAATGGTAAATCTTTAATTTCAAGCAATATTCTGTGAGTTACAATTATAATTATCTCAAAGACTACCCTTTGAAATGCACTGAAAAAAATATTTACCTCTACAAGCTGTAGGGTTTTTCCTTCATCCTCTGCTTCTGGGGTCACAGGAAAAGCAGAGGAGATGGCTGCATATAACAACAGAAGAAGTGAAAGAGTCTTCATCTTCATCCAAGGTTCTCTGCCTCAGTTTCTTTCCTGAGCTACTGAACACGCTTCTCAGCTTTGTTTATATAGCTAATAGTAAATAAATGACAGCCTGACTCATGCTGTATAATATCCTCTGATTAGTAAAACTGATGCATAATGATTTCATCACCAGGTAGTGACGCAATCTGTTTAATTTATGTTACTGTCCTTATCTTGTCCTAATCTTCTGTTTTGGGCAATTTTGTAGTGTGTTTAAAAATAAGGAAGTGTTTTTCAGATAAAATGTGGAGCTACATTTCACAGGTTTTCTTGAATTTTGAATTTAGACTATTTAGGGCACAAAGTCTTGAAACTGTAGAAATAATAAGAAAAAACATGTAACAGCAACATAATATATTGTATGATAATGAAACAAATAGATGATACATATTATTTAATACTTAACAGACTACAGAATAATAGGTTCTAATATGTAATAAAAAAATACAAAAGACAGTACAAAGAACTTATCTAGGAATAATCAGCAGCATAACACCAGGAGGACTGTTATCAGTTACTTAAAAGTTCTATCTAAAACAATCTTATGATGTTAGCAGAACTGAGTGCTAAAATTATTCAACATTTTTTTACAAAATTATATTAACAAAAATCAGTCATGCTACTGAAACGCATAGCTGGATTCCTATATGTATGGTAAGTGATACTTGTACTCTTGCCAGCATAGATAAGGTCTCAGCTGCAATAGTGTGTTTGGATTCAGGCAGAGAGAGATGAACTCTGGGAGAAAAAAACTCCATGAAATGCAACAGGGATTTTCATCAGTGTGGAAATGGAAGATTAAAGTAACCATTTTGTGACTCTGTATTTACTGTTTCATAGAAGGAGGAATGAGGGGAGCCATGATAAAGGTTGATAAATATATGAAAGTTTTAGTAAAAAGGAAGCAGTGTCTAGTCTCCAAGACTTTAGAGTGGTCTTAAGCGACAGCAACTAAGTTAAGACATGAGGTTTGTGATTCTGCTGCCTGAGCATTGGTGTTATTTGGGATACCTTAGGGAATGACACCTGACCTCCAGCTGCCCTAGAAGGATGCATGTCTCCATAGATTCTGTGTCATGGTAGCAAGGCCTGGTGGGTGTCTCAAGTACAGGCAAATGATTAATGAGATGAAATATCCTTTAAGTTTTGTTGTTGTTGTTATTGTTGTTATTGTTTTTTGGTTGGTTGGTTGGTTGGTTGGTTTGGGTTTTTTTTGCGTAGATATCTGTAAGTTATTTAGGTCTCTAAATTCCCATTTTGGACAATGAATTCTAGAGTGTGATTCAACTGACCATAAGATATGGACTTGAAAATGAGATTAATTGCTATCTATACTTCATTGACTGATTGGGTTTAAATACCCTGGACACATGTGGGAACCTACAGTGTAGACCCCTAAACTGAGGAAGACAATTCTGACTGCAAGGACAGCTAAGCACCAGAGTATTTGGCCTGAAGTGGCTGTGTATTTGCTAACTCTGGAACCTGACAGGTACAGGTTGGACATCTCTCAGGATGGTTTTGATGTTTCTGTCCTTACTGGAGGTAAGGAGCTTCCTTGGAACCTTAAAAGGGAAACAGTAAATGTTGGTGTGAGAGGGAAAAATGCAAATATACATAATTATTTTAAATATGCTGGAAAATTCTTCACTTAGTTTCTCAAACGGCATGAAAAATAATGTACTTAGTATGTAATTCTACATTCACTGTAGTGTAGCACCTCCTAGTTATATCTAGGTTCAGCAGAGCATATGTCATTCCTAGGAAAAAGGAAATTACTTTATACCTTCCAATGTGAGTCACATAGCTTACTTGGAGTGATTGACTGAAGCTAATATAGGACACTTCAAAAGCAGAAGCAACATTCATGTGCTGGGATTCAAAATGACTAGGACAATAATTCCTCAAAAGGTACAGCTGTGGTAGATGTAAAGAAATTCAACTTCCGTATTCATGGATCATAGTCCAAGGAAACCTAATTATTGATTATTCCTAATCTGTGTTGATTTTCAGACATGTACAAAAGGAATTTTATGTGCTGAGTACCTCTCCAAAGACTTTACTACAGCTCACATAATCCTAGAATTTGTGAAATTCTGCTTCACTTCTCTAACTCAGTTTTTAAATTAGTCATACCTGTAAATATTTCTCCAGTTTTTCTGTAGGCTGGTTTATATAGTTCCTGATTTAATAGCTTAATTTCTTTTTTTTTTTCTAAAAAGTGGTTAATTTTTTATTTCTTCTATTTTTTTTAAAATTTGTTTATTATCCAAAGGCATCATAGACATGTCTAAATACATACAGGCAAAGAAGAGATGCAGATTAATCAAATGTGTCCAGTGGCTGAGACAGGAACATAAGGAAATCATGTGGCTTTCACAGAGAGGATCTTCCGCCTTGCAAATTTCTACAGAGGGTCTATGGCCAAATTTTAACGTGACCAAGAGGATACTGCGTTGGACAGAGAGTCAGAGGGGACACATAGTTGTTTTCCATGAAACTTTCAATAAATTACTTTCCAAGTCAGCTAGTGGAAGGACTAGAAAGTCCTGGGCTCCAGCACTAACTGTGGGAGCTGTTTATTCGTTTGGAGAGTGAAAAACTTTCAGCAGTATAAGGAAGAGGAAGCAGAAGCAGTGGCTTCCTCCTGTCTTGGGATTTTCCAGTGTTGGGCTACAAAGTCATGTCCCGTTTCACCATTTGTGTTGGTTTCCTACTGCGTGTTCTTTGGCACAACTCCCTGGAATCTGTGTTGAGGGGAAGGGTAGAGTCTGCCCTTCAGAAAAAAGCTCAAAATCCAACACAATGAGACATGAATATGCCAAAATGAAAGTGAGATCCCCTCAAAATACATGAGGATTGTTACTGAGTGCCAACTGGTGTCTACACAGTTCCTTATTTTGCCTGAAGGACCATTGCATTGCACCTGCATCTGAATGTCTTGGCCTCTCACTAAACCCCATTTCTAGTAATTTTCCCATGTAAGGGATTCTATCCTGCCTGTGGGGGTCTCAGTGAGAGCCTCTGGGGTTGGACCAGGGGCTGAAGGCCCCTGTGTCTGTGGTGATGTGACTGGAAAGATGCATGTGCCAGTCCATTTGGTACATATGTATACGTGCATGTCCCTACCGGGAATACAAGTGCAGCTTCACTGCTGGCTGGACCTGTTGTCATGAAGCTGCAGCAGCTTCACCTCTCTCAGGGTGCTTGGTTTGGACAACTCCTAACACTACTTGAAATTTTCCTAAAATCATAGCATTCTAGAATCATAGAATGGTTTGAGTTGGAAGGAATCTGGACCAATTTGCTGAAAGCCTTTGAACGCTTCCAGGGAAGGGGTATCCACTGCTTCTCTGGGCAACTCATTCCGGTGCCTCACCACCTTCCATGTAAAGAAATTCTTCCTAAGATTTAACCTAAATCTCTTGTCCTTATCCTGTTGCTGTCTGCCCTTGTAAAAAGTCCCTCTCCCTCTTTCTTATGATCCCTCTTTAAGTACTGGAAGCCCAAAAGAAGTCTCCTTGAAGCCTTGTCTTTCCCAGGATAAACAATCCCAGCTCTTCCAGGCTGTCTTTATAGCAGAGGTGTTCCAGAGGGGCTTACATGGAAAATCTCCATGTAATTAAAGAAGATAAGTAAAATTGACCCTTATCTATACCCAAGAGTTCTTCAGAGGTAGCTCCTGTCTGGACCACAAACATCAGTGCCTCACTCACGTTGTCCTCAGTCACCTTGTGAGGTCTGGTATCTATTTGCTAAACCACTGCTAAACCCAAATGGATACCTAAGGTAGAGGAGGTGACACAGTTGTTAAGCCAGCATTTTCAAGGGTTTTTCCAGTGTACACCCAGGTAGGACAGGTTTGTGTTTCTCTGTATTGGCAATAATCCTGCTTTATTTGCACACTTCTTCCTCAGCAAAGCTGCACCCTTGTTGCTCATGTTGAGGCAAGAGACCTGAAAGTGTCCCTTTTCTAGGTACTCTACTCCTTGTTTCTCACTCACTAAGTCTACATAGGAATGTAAACACTGCCAGAGGTCTACCCAGTATGATTTCCCTTTTCAGCATTAATTGAAAAGGACATTTAGAAACATTAAGGGAAGCCATATTTCCCCAGAAGACTTTCCCAGCCTCAAAAATTTTTCTCTCTCAGTGATTTCCATTTACTTTGTACCTCTCTTAGCTAGAGCTTGGATTTGACTCTTGGAGCTATTTCTCTTTTCCCTAGCTAACTTTGATAACATTTTAAAATGTTCAAATGACTTCCACCCACACCCCTGACTGAATAATGAAAAAATAAATTCACAGTGTGACTCACAGTGGGGTTTCCCTAAATCAAGTTTCTCACTGTAAAATTACTGTAGAAAAGGGAACTTTGACTGGTAGTTCTGTAATTTTACTGTTGCAAAAATGAAAAGTAGTACTTCATAATTCTAAGAATGTTTAATGTTTGTCACAATGATATTTACTACTACTTTCTCATTAGCAGGTGGCACTACAAAGGAGTCATAATGCCTGCAGGAAGTACTTTTATTCCCATTCTGAGCTCTTATGTATATCTGAATCTCTTCATGTGTTTCTAATCTATTTTGAAGCAACAAAATGAAAATATTTCTGCAAATGAGACAAGTTATTTTCCTCGAAGGATATAACTTTTAATAGGAAAACTGAAGTGTCAAAGATATAAATCCTGTCACTGTGCTGCAATACTCAGCTGTTTGCCAGATGTTTGCATGAAGTTAGAAAGTTCATTAGGAATTTTACCTTAATAAATACTTAGGGCCAAGCATATTTTAACACTGAGATGAAAAAGCCAAAGGCAACCCTTCAAGTCAGTTATCTCAGAGTTTGCACAAGTTCATGGCTTATCGTCACACAGTGTTAAACATTTCCTTTATAGAATTGCTGTTGGTACTGTTCCAAGTGAATGATCAGTCACTCAGTTTACAAACCAGGGTGCTGTGCTGGGCATTGTT